TTGCTATGCGTAGCAAAGAATTGTGATTGGTCCAGGAAAATCACGCCACTGTCAAACTTGACTCGAGCGTCGCTTCTTGTGGAATGAAAACTTACAGTGAAAGCAGAAATGAACTGCGAAATTTACAAATCTTAAAGAAAATGGTGGAAAAGTCGAGTCAGTTTTTGTCATCAGAGCAGCCCTGAGAGCCGAAAAGCTTGGACGTTGCCTTGAATATTGCAGGATTTGAACTATACGCTCGGAAAAATTGCGGTTGCGATCAACCTGGAGGCCATTCGATTCGAGTTTTGAATGAAAGGAGCGTCTGTGACGGTGGAAATTTGTGACCTCTGTGGTTGGTGATTCTCAAATCAGTTTGAAATAGTGTCGGAGATACCTTTTAGCTGCGATACAGTTGGCCCTGAGCTGTAGTGAGCTTTACTTTGCACAATGCTGTGCCCTGAAACGGACTAAAACATTTGCATCGGAAAGTAAGGTTATGTGTTTATTTTAACTGATTTTAAGAAGTGATGTTTTGATGTGTCATTCCTGACATCAATCAGTGTTTGAACAATTATTGTGAGACTGAGAAAAGTTAATTTTTTGAATAAATTAATCTCAAAAGCATTTATTGGGTTTGTTAAATTCGAGATAAGCGGCTATGGTTCTCGGCTTACCAAGACCAATTTTGTGCTTGGTTTAGTCCCGCTTGACTGCCACTAGGACTGCTCGAGTATTTTTTCTGAGTCATTTCCTAAAAGAACGGCTTTATCTTTCTTCCTCCTGCTTCTCGTACCCGTTCAATGCCTCGGCAAGACTTTTTTGTACCTTACCTTATGCTCAGTCACGTAAAATATTATCTTAATTCTCAAAACTTTCCGCCATTCGAAAACACAGATAGAAAAACTTTGTAATGATGACGTCAATCGTGGGTCTGTCCTCTAATAGATCATAGGCGAGAACCAATCAAAATGGGAGAATAACGGGTTATTATATAACGCGTTTTAGTAGAATTCTACTGGTATACTAATGCAAATGCTGTAATCTGATTGGCTGAGCCTTTGAACACTGTCAGCCATTGGTGTGTAGTGGCTGGGGGTCGTCTAGGAAGTGGCGACGTTTTTTTCGTTTTTCCAAAGTTTTGGAGGAAAATTTTGATGCAAATGGATAATTAATTTCTGAGAAGTCTAAACGAAGGACATTTACAGCTCCTTGACATTTAAAAAAGTTAAAATTATTGAAAAAACTGATGCACGCCTGCACACAACTTCAATTTTAAATGACAATTCAATCCGAGCGATCTTTTTCAGGCGCAAAGTTTAATAATACGTCAAGAAATAATTGGAAACCGTTATTTGAAGTAAATTATAGTAAGAATTCTACTAAAACAATTAGATTATTCGCTCTCGATTTCAATTCGGCCTCATCAATTCACCTCATAGAAATCTCGAGCTCATAATCTAATTGTTGATTAGCAGAAATCTACTAGCGCTCTATCACGAATGCCGTTCTCTAATTAACCACGCTACTCCTGTCTATTCTGTGATAGAGAGCGAGTAGCGTAGCAGTGTACAAAATGACCGCCACTTCTTGGCGTTTTCGAAGTGTCTGTGAAGAGGATTTAGGTAAAGTTTTTTGAACGACTAGTAGATTTATACTAAAACAATTAGATTATGAACTCCAGATTTCTGTGCGTGATAGAAATCTCGAGCTCATAATCTCATTGTTTATGAGTAGAATTCTACTAGTATACTGATGCAAATGCTGCAATCTGATTGGCTGAGCCATTGAATACCATCAGCCATCAGTGTGCAGTGGGTGGAGGTCGCCTAGGAAATGGCGACGTTTATAGCGTTTTTCCGAAGTTTTAGAGGAAAACTGTAATGCAAATGGCTAATTAAATTCCTGAGAAGTCTACACGAAGGACATTTACGGTTTCTTGACTTTTAAAAAAATTGAAATTATTGAAAAAGCTGATGCGCGCGCACACAACTTCAACTTTAAATGACATTTAATCCGACCGATCTTTTTCAGGCGTAAAGTTTAATAATACGTCAAGAAATAACTGGAAACCGCTATTTTAAGTAAATTTTAGTAAGAATTCTACTAAAACAATTAGATTATTCGCTCTCGATTTCTATGAGGTGATAGTTGATGAGGCCGAACCTAATAGAAATCTCGAGCTCATAATCTAATTGTTAAATAGAAAATCGATTTTTACCCAATCAGCGCGCGTATTTTCTTAGGGCTGTTTCCTAAGTTCCGATGGAGAGAAAATTGTTGAAGGCGTAAGAAATACTATTGAATTAAGACGATATAAATTTTCAGATTAAAGAAATGACACCAGAAAATGTGCAAAACGTTCCAACCGATTGCTTGCGGCTCGTAATTAAGTTGGTTTGCGACTTTGTAGATTGAAAATGCTGTTTAGTTCATAAAAAAAAATGGTTGATTCGTCCAATACCTAACTTTAAAACCTCAAATTTGATATGAAGTTTACGGTACCTGTCAGGTGACGCACAACATAGACACCCCTCGAGGTGCACAGTAACCTTTATATCGTAGTGTTCACAGAACGTGGTTGGACATTTTTACTATAGGTAGGATAACTGTTTTATCTTATTGTTTTATCTCTTTGTTTCTTTAATATTTCATTACTAGCTTGCATGTTTACTGACAAATTCGAAGCGAAACGAAGCTGTATGTCTGTTAGAAGAAAAACGTTTCTTCTTGTGCTAACGTTGTGTTAACTCCTTATTATATTTTATGAAGATGACCATACTTGCGCTTATAGTTATGCCGGTTATGTAACATAACTGGTAAATAATAAACACAATATTTGTTTATTAACAATGTACCCAGTTGGCACAGCACTGCTCGATCCAGTGAGGTCATTCTTAACGTACATAAAGTTTTATCAAAGAGCAATTTTATTTTCTTCACTATTTTAATTCTGGGGAGGTTCCTTAGGGTGACAGAAATAAATTCGGCCTCAAGGACAATATCTACATTTGTTTATTCTGACAAATTTTCGTTGTCTTTTAGATTTGGATGCCAGAATGAGGGAAAAATTAAACCTGAAGTATTTCTGACTGGCAAGTGTTTTAAGAATATCTTATAATCATGAAATTGCATAAAAACTCGGTCATTCTACGTACTAGAGTAGCGAGGTTGGGCTGAGTACCCGATCCAGTTTATTATACGACTAGGTTCGTCGTTCTCCAAAGAAGTGGAACATTGTCTTTCGCACCCCTTCGTACCTAATTCACGATTTGAATATCACACGGAACTCGTGAGTTCAAATTGCCAACACATAAGAGGACATGTTGCAGAGACGTGTAGGGGACCAGTGGCGGATCCAGGCCTTAAGCTAAGGGGGGGGGGGNCATGCCCTACCGGCTTTTCTTTCTTCTGCGATATTTTTTTGTCCGCCCCTTATGATTCTAGTGCTACAGACAACTACTCAACCTCGCACCGACTATGTTCGTAAAAGTTTCTCCTAGAGCGGTGCTGCGTTGTAGAATAGCCTTCCAACTTATATTAGAGTACCTAAAACATTAGGTGAATTTAAGACGAAGCTAAGTAACTTCAGTTTTGAGTGAATTAACGACACGGCGTCCCTGAAAAGCAGTACTTTTGTTTTCATTTTTTTCTATTGAAATAGGTAGTTTAGCTCAGTTTGTTTAGATTACGCTTTTATTCTTTGTAATTACTTTTATAATGATTATATTGTTTAATTTTTACATCTGTAGATATTTTTGCTTGTATACAGCAGATTGGAATTTACCGTGTATAAATAAAGTGATCTATTTATTTATCTTTTCTTTCCCAAAATAATGGGGGGGGGGGNGGGGGCCGGGCCCCTCCCCTAGATCCGCCACTGAGGACAATTTCAATCACAACATGTACACACACACAACAAAATGCAATAGGGACATGTCAAAGGTACCCTCGTGTGGACTTTAACGAGTTGAACTTCACGAGACTTGCAGCACAGAGAAAATGTTTCAGGGACGTCATTCCTTTGTACGGTTGGGCAAGAGTCAGAATGCTTTAAGCTTGGGTGTTGGGAAAATGTCTGCAACCTATGGGATTAAATTCGAGCATCTTCGATTGTTCATCGACAGAAGCCGACATCATACTTCGGCAATTCGGGAATTTCTGTAAAGCACTAAGACAACGGCCATTGAACGCAAAATTTGTAGCGTGCCACTACGATTCCCTTTGTGTGTACATGCATATTGTTACACCGTCTACTTGTGTCAATGGCAAGTGATTTTGTCGCTGCAACCTGGTCCTCTGTGACTAGGCACCTCATGAATTTCTTGCATTCAGAAATTTAAAACTGCCTGGCAAATGAATAGACTCTAAGTATATGCGTTTTATTAAGCTACGCTGTGTCCTGTATTGAAACTCATAGAAATTTTCCTCAACAAAGCCGATCCTTCCCTGCAAGATAGCAACAAAAGATCCACGTTATGATAGTTTATTCAGCCATACAAAGTATTCAAAACTAAGCCGCCAAGTAGTAACAGCCATAACAACAGCTCTGTCATAGCTGATGAACAGTAGTGAAATGTACTTCTGAACAAAGCACGAAATAGGAGATGATTACACAATAGAAAGGTACATAACAAAGGTTCAATGCACTTACAAAAATTTAACAAGTAAATCAGCTAAAGGTGGTTTTCACATAAGAAAAATCACTTCTTGGAGCATTCCTTATGCGGAACAGCATTCAATATTCATTCAGCGTTCACATATTCAGTGCAAATTCCATAAAATTGGAGTGTTGAAATTAGCGTCTTTCCTATCTAACCCATTCTAAAACATAAACAGGTAGTCTGTACGAGAAGTAAAATGCTGTTTACTATTTTCAACATATCTCTTTTCTGTACGAGAAGTAAAATGCTGTTTACTATTTTCAACATATCTCTTTTCGTTTCAGAGACATTCAAGTTTTTGTAATAGGCAAATTAGCGAAGTCATAAACTCAACCAAATTTTGATCAAATGTGATGAAGAAAGATATCTCAGCCAGTTTGTATCAGAAATGTTTGATTCTTTGCATTAAGATTCCACTAACATACTGGGTTCCAGACCTCCCCGATGTTAAAGGCTTTTCTGGCCACCTTTGGCATTCGATTTTGATATTTGCCAATGGTGCCTCATCTACATGATCCAGGAAACATAAAACATGTTAGGTCGACTGTTCGAGTTTGTGGCTTGTTTACTGTTTTTCTAGCTGAAAATCACTAAAATATTGAAATCAGACTGGCGGGGTCAGGAAAAGAGTGAGTTGCTATGATGAATATTAGCGTACTAAGTTTCAATGGTCGCTGCTGCAAATTGACCGAGATGGCGACCGAGATAGCTTTATTAATACACTTGATCTCATATTTGGTTTGAGTTTTTGACGTCGTCAGTCCTGTCATTTGCATATTTTAAACCTTTTTCAAACTTAGATATCTTCGGAACTAATGCAGGTATTTGGTTTTTAATCTTTTGTGGAATTCTTTGTGATACACCCAAAAATTCAAGAGGTAAAATTGGATCATAGTAGCACTTTAAGAGACCGCGTGTCCTCCGTAAACAAGAGATTCTGTTGTGGGATCATGAGGAGAGAGCGGAAAGGGTAGTGTACACTGTGAAGCATACACTGTGAAATGGACGATAAGAGGCGAGACAACATGAAAGAGAGACTTTAAATACTGTACGTTAAAGGTCAATAGAAAGCAACTGAAACTTTTAAAGCCTACAAAAAGTTTCCCTCGTATAAGACCATGGGGAAAGATACTATATCTTCTGAACTGTGCCATTAAAGAATTCTCGGACAAACCTGTTTTGTTTAGCATTTGCGCACTGTGCAAGTTGTTTTAAGTTTCACATCACTATGTTAGAGCGGACTTTCACTATTTGGTACTCTAATCTTGTATGCAACAAAAGTGCAATATCTCTTCCAAATATAAACCCACACCTCTTTGAAACAAAAAATTCCTTCCGTAATGAACCTCCTGAAAATAAACCCGACAAACTTGTTGGGTATTATCACATGTCTTGCCATTTATTCTTAGTATAATGTATCACTGGCAAAAAACAATACCACACTTTTGTCTGGTGGATCCTCGTAAAGTGCCAAACTTGTTTTTGAGGAGAGGTTCGAGCTGCTCAGTGAGTTTGGTATAATTCCTTTCCAGTTCTTTCTGATAAGCACGTTGGTCAGCTGTGATTAGATGTTTGTTCCTTTGTAAGGCGTCTCCACATCTATAAAGGGGAGCAGCAAAAGATAGTATCCCTATGTATTGTATGCTGCAGGTTTTTAAATTACTCTAATGGCAACAAGGCAACAACTAAAAAAACACGTAACGACAACTTGGGGCAACTAAGAAATACTAAGACGCTAAGGACCACTGAGGACACTGAGGACCTTTAAGGGTTAGTATAGTAAAGAACAATAAGAACAGTTTAGGACAACAGAGGAGAACTGACAACTACCTCAAATAACAACCATCTCTTTTTTTTTTTTTCTTTATGGCAAATAACTCTCCACAAATACCAGAATATTTTATCCTGATCTATATTTACTACTCGAGTTAAAACTTCCCTACAATGGTCAATTAATGCTTACCTCTTGATAAATTCTTTGAAACAGAGTCTGAGTCTGTGATGGTGTCTAGTTATCATCTGACTCTCTCCTTCTTCGTCCGATTCCTGGCCGTGACACAAGAACACCAAAGCAATCTCCAATGGACCCTGTTGCCAAAAACAAAACCAACCACAGAAAACCCACTTCACTTTGATAAATATTAGGGTGTTCTGAACGAGATCGCTGGCATACAAAGTAGTTTTATGTTATGGATCAAAGTACACAGTTGTGAACTTCATGAGAGTCTTAATAAAACATCATTTACCATCCAGGCTATTTTGGACTATTTTTCAATTCCCAAGTGTCAAATTTCCGATGGGCAATTGATACATGGAATTTTTTCAAGGACACATGCTGACATTGACACACTAACAGACACAATCCCTCACAACTTTTAAGCCCAAACTGGTCAGCTTACTTGCAAGATGAAAACAAAACGCTTCGCTAAAAGTAGTCGTGCAACCAAATGACTGCGTGCAGACTTCCTTGATTCATCATGAATGTTCCCGCAGCAGGTGATTAAATTGTTTATTCTTGTAACTTGTGCACCCAGTCAACAATGCATCGATATCAGACTACTGAGACTGCAGTTTACCTGATTAACAGTAGTGCCAATAGAACCCTGTAAAACCATTTGAAGCATCTTCGGGTTGGGTGGCTCTTGTTGTATGGCGCTCAGAAGTTCTTTTGTTCTCAATTCCATATCTTCAATGGCAACTTCAATAGGGCTTAACACAATCTACACGGTGTCAATCAAGTACTAATGAATAATGAAAGTCACCAAGTGCTTTGGTGGTTGTATTATCGCAGAAGAGTTTGTTTGATACAGTTATTAGAGTTTGTATTGTATCTGTGCTCCTATCATTGCAGTAAAAGTTATGTTTAGTGTTCTAAAGGGGCTATTTCAAGCAGGTATTCCAGGTCTTTTTGATTTTGTGATGTACAACACTACTCTCAAATTAAAAACCCCCTCAAATTAATAGTTTTCCTACAATAACAAATAAGTAATAAGAAACCAAGATGGCGAGGACTGAGAAGATTAAGGCAGATTCGATTTACAAAGTGACAAAACAATTAGCCAAGATTCTCAACATACGCTGCCATAATTTATGATGTAACACTTGAAAATGTGAACATCATTAACATGTATTCTGAACAACCGTAGAGTAATAGTTAGGAGTTATTTAAAACAATATATGTTGAACAAACCTGTTCTCGATGCACGACATTGACACGGGTCTTGACATAAGGAAACGAATTAGCGGCCGTCAAAATTGTCTTCCTCTTGTACTGAGTGACTAACTCGCCATGTGCTTTGCCGCTCGGTGTAAATGGTGTTTCATACATAAACCTCCCTATGAGAGAACAAACACATCAACACATTGTCCCCGCGTGTATAAAGTACGTCGGGTTGTACTGTTATTGATAAACATTAAAGAACAAACGTACTTAAGTTGAAATTCTTGTCAAAGTATGTTTTCCGGTCTTTCAGCTCATACTCATCAAAGTAAGGGTCCACAAATGTGAGTTGAATGTACGCTTTCTCTGGATCCAGCTTGTCTTGTTCAACAGCATTCGAATCTTTAATCACTTCAACAACATCTGGTCCAAACTTTTCGCCATAAAATGCCTGTAAAGGGAGAGCTCTCAGCCTTGGTTTGATAGTTATATTTGATTGGTCACTTGGTTGTATAATTGAAAAGAACTGGCACAAAGATCAATAAACGATTGACATTACGTCCAGTCCACTTACCAACCATCAGGTTACACCTTTTTATATAAGCACGTCTTGTTCTTGGCCGAAGCTGAACGTTCTTAAAATGATGGAAAATGTTTGGAACTTACCCTCCGTGTATCCCAATGCTAATCACGTTGAAAACAATTCAGTTTCCTCAGACATTTTTGGAAGCGAGGTACATCCGTACAAGATACTAATAGAATTAATGAGTTACACGGCTTGTACAATCATTTTCACTGTCTTTGTCACATGAAATTCAAACAACGACTGAAGTGAAAAATTATGTGCTTCCTGTGCGTAGGACATGATAAAAAAGTTTTGTGTTTAAACTGAAAACAGTATGTTGAATTAGTGACTGATGGAATTGACTGACCTGCAAACGATGCGACACTTCTGGCAGCTTTGTTATGGCGGGTTCCTTGTAAATGTACTCCTCTCCATCAAGATCTCCAAATTTAGATCCATAAAAGCCCACCCTAAAATACGTCCCTAACATACGCTTTCCTTCCTGAAAATCACACAACGCGCTGCATCAGTGAAATTGATTTTCCGTCCAGTTTAAACTTGTAAGCCCCAATAGTGTATACCATGTAATCCTTTAGCATTTCAACTTAATCATATATTAAGATCACCAAAACATAGCAATGATAACTACAGGAGATTAGCATGGCCGAGGGATGACAATAATAAGGGACCACTGGCTAAAAATAAGTTACGAATTCAAAAATGAAGACTAAATTTAATTAAAATGTCATGGTGCTTTTACAAAATTTCATTGAAATTCCTAATCAACCGGAAGAGAATATAACCACAAACAGGTAAATGTACAAAAAAAACCCTCGGACTTAACGACAAAAAAACGTTCAACAGGGTTTGAATGTCTTCACTCCTCACCAAACCAGAGGAAATGTCTGAAGAAGAGTGTGGAGCCGATATATATTTACGTCTTAATGGCTTATGTAACATATTTACTTACTCCTTGAAAACAATTAATCTTTACAAAATACAATCTGTCAAAAAGACACACTCGGACTTACTTCAGCGGTCTTTGTAAGTACTTCTCCACAGGGTTCATGGTAATTGTGACCTATATAAGTTTTAACTGTAATCAAGCACTATCTCCTACCGTTTGTATGATTTTGCTGAAAGCTTCTGAAAGTTTTTGATGAACATGAGTTAATTTCTTGTAGTCACGTCTGGCCTCCAGTATAGGGATAAGCAATTTATACACTTCATTTACGCATTCATAGAGATGAGAACGAAAAAATGTGCTGGCAGCTTTCTCGAGGAGCAACACCAATCCATTTTCACAGAAGTACTTTCCAGTGCAGATACCCTCTTCATCCTGGACAAAAACAAACACGCACATTGTTAAACGGTTTCTTCAAACAAGAATAAAGTGGAGGAGGAAGAGCGTTATTTAATACGTCAACTGAAAGGAACGGTTAATTAATCAATAACTGTACGAAAAAAGCTGCATCGTTTGTAAAGTTTTAGCTTGATAAAACATTTTACAAGAGAGCAACTTATTTTCACACAAGTGTCTAAGCGGTTCGCAATCACGAATCTGATGAGCTTATTACGCCGGGCCGTTTTCCATGAACGATTCGGACCACGAGTTACAGACTGCGCACATTCCCTTAATAGGAACTGAAGCGTAGAAGTTAAAAGACATTGTTTCGGATAATGAAAGCCGTCAGATCGCGAAATAATTATGACGTGAAACTCCCTGGATGTGTTTATGGTGATAACCAATGGGCGTATTACTTTGGTGCTGTTTATGCACCAAACCAGACTTACAGGCGAGACGACGTCATCTGAAATAGCACTCTCCTCGAGAACATTTGGTGATATCTTCTCAAATGCGACACATCCTATGGGAAGATACGGCTTGTCTTCCAGCATACTCAGGTATTCGGATACAAGGCCTGCTGTATGGACCAGACACATGGCAGCCTCAACTTTCGCCTGCCATAAAAAGAAAATAAATAAGTAAAGAGTGTTGACCTAACACGTGTCAAACGGAATAGCTATCACACTGTAACAGATGCCAACACGGTGAGAATTTGCGATCAGAACTCAAAGAATAAACAACTAAAGTGGCAAAATGTGTTACAACCAAGTCTCTGTTTGTTCTAGCTGTGTTCAGCGACAACACTGTTGCTGATGATGACGAAGATGATAGCGGCGACAGCCAATGATGGCTGAAGACGGGTAGTTTAAGGCTGTTTTTCGAGAACGCTTCAGTTCCTGATCAAGCTAAGACAGTCCCAACTCTGAGTATTTAATGGCGTGGAACAGTGTCACAAACTCTTATTAAATGTTTGAAGTCAATTGTTATCTAGCATAATAACGCAAAATGTAAACAATGATCATTGATGTCTCCAATCTTATTTTTTTAAAACCTACCACTAAGGTGACAAAAGGAAAACGAAAGGCAACACAAAGCGAAACAAATGACTTGTTACTGTTTACCACATACCTCGCCGTGTTTGGAGGCCATGTTGTACAGCCATGTCAGTCGTAAATCAGGCGAGTTTTGATAACTGATGAAAAGATACAAACATATGCACACAATGAAACGCCAGCATTACAAAGGAATTTGAACACAAAGAATTTTGACTCTTTGCATTTGACTACCACTTTATTTCCACAGTTAGACATTTTTGAACTTCAACAATTGACACAAAAAGTGCCACTCACGTTTCGACTTTCGACATATTCAACTTGAGTGTCAAAGGGAAACGAATTCCACATATTTTCATGGTGCAAGTTGTAAAAATTTCGTTACACCCCAGACACGGTTCCCAAATTCTGTTCAACATAAATTCGACACGGGAACGCGTGATACACAGGTTCAAGCTGTTGTCGCTCGAGGAAATTTACACTCTTTTCAAAGTTTTGTTGTTGGGTACTACACACTATTCACTGATTCTGGTAATTTTCCTGTAGGGAAAATCAACTGTCTGTCAGATTTACAACTTTGTTCAACATCAGCATAAACATTACCTACCCTTTGGCAATTCTGTACATAAGATCAATCAACATTTCTGGATCCTAATAACAACGGACAACAAAATTACAACAATTCATTTATCTACTCATTGTGCCCAGTTGTTTAAAAATGGAGAATAAGTCGTTCTTTTTTATTTGATAGTTTTAATTGGTTAAGATAAAAAATATACAAAAGTAACAATACAAAGAGAAATCAGACAAAATAGCTAAAATTAAAGGAAATAAACAAACGAACAAAGAAACCCAGTTTATCTAGCACCTAATTAATTATTGTCAAATTCAAATGTGCTCCGCAGTTCTTTCCCTTTTTCTTAAGTGTTTTAGGAGCTTGCAGTGTCCCCTAAATAGTATAATAACAGCTTCTGTCTTGGTTATGAAACACTGACCTTTGGGTAAGCTATTTTGACATTTCTTGACATAACTAGTTGAACTCGAACTCTTGAAAAGATTTAGTCTCTCTCCTTCAGCTTTTCAACATGGTTATTGTTGTCTTTTAATTAGCCCGGACAACATAAATACAATTTTTTTTTTAGAATAGCTCAAGAGTGTAAAAAAGAACGTTATAAAGCGGCACATTATTTACACAAGAAAAAACAACGAGTTAAGATCACAACAGGTACCTCTTGATATTCCTTCATCTTGACCGTATCTGATAGAATCATATGCAGATTGAACACCAGTTCTCTGACCTAAGATTAAAATGATGTAATTCTGGTTTTTGTTGATAAGAGGGTAAAATGTTGCTGTAAGAGCCATACTAAATTAGAGGTCAAATTTCTAATCGACATGAAGTAGGCTGATTATGTCATTGATTGTCGTTTTTTGATCTACCTGATCTGGGAAAGTGCTTGTCCTCAGCTCTTGATCCGATTCCGCATACGTTATAATTGTTTTCAGCGACCGACGAAGCTGATCTTCATTAAAAGTCTGCAAATTCAAGAAGAAGGATTAGCCTCTTAATCTCCAAGGGAAACGCTTGCCCACAACGTATGGCAAGGTAAAGATAAAAAAAAACGAAGGGGAAGGTATGGTTTTTAAGCGGTATTGCAATCTCGTTCCCAGAGGCTTCGGTCCTTTTGGTAAGCACCAAGAAATCGGAAGGAAAGCCAGCATCATTCACAGCGGTAACTCCCCGCTGGCGCATGTTCAGAAACCGATATTGTATCCGAACGCCTGCGCACAATCAAACCAGAACCAGGATTTTCTGGAGCCCCTCTCCCAGGGAAAAATACGTCCTTATTTAATTTTAAGGTCTATGGCAGGTCTGGCATCTACAATCATATTTGACATCCCCTGGTACATAAATGATACAAGGTAGCTAGGTGTAGAATAATAAGTGACAACTTACTTGTGAAGTACCAACAAGGCTGGAAAGTGACATTGTAACTTGCATCTTGACCCGTGCGAAATTCTGAACAAGGTGAAGAACACATTTTAGACACAGAATGTTTACTTTTTATTTCTAATTTTAGACTTATCTTCTTGCTAGCAAAAGCAAAATTAAACATTTAAAAAACACGAAACAACCTTTTAAAGAATTGTTTCGGCATGCCTTTTGCCATGTTGAACTGAGTAACCTGATACACATAGCTAATATACAAGTACTACAACATAGAAATGAATGTCACATAACAAACGAAATCTCAAAACCGTTACAGAATGTCTGGCACTGTCTGGTACAGGTACTCTTACACAGGGTGTGGTTCTGTCTGATGCTAAAGGTACAAGAGTTTGACCTAAATGGGTGCTGAAATGTTGAACTTGGGTGTTCAATTTAGGTTTTAAATGTAAATTGATTCGAATATCACTCCCAAATGTTTTGCAAACTTACGTTTCCTATCTCAAAGTTCTGTCTCATGAGGAGATAAAGAGATGCACTGGCCTGGGCTCGAATACTACTGAGAGCCGAGCTGCAGTGGTTAAGAAGTCTGGAACAAAGGTCAGCACAAAGCTCTGTGTCATCTTCAAACAACAGTTCAGGGAACTACAAATAGTAATCACAAATATGTCAGTCTAACAGTGTCACATAGGTGGACCGTGGTTATTCAAGACAACTGAATTTAATGGAGAATACTACGAGGAGGTCCTGACAAACTGCGTATTTTCTAACCAAGCGTTCTCCAAAAACCAAGAAATGAAAATTCAGACTAAACCCTCGACGACAGAAGATCTCAGTCAGCGAGGAACTAACTGGTCAGTCATTTATCCAATCCAAATTCAAGTTTGGATCAAGAATTATTTTCAAAGGAAGGGTACAGATCTGAAATTACACGCCATATATTATCGGGAGTAGGTTTTCACTGGTTTTGTCGACTGTAAGAGAGCAGTGACATGTCTTATAACCAACACACTGGTCAGCTATAATTTTTAAGTCGTGAAGAAGTTTAATTGCGGACAACTCAAACTCTTAACGCAACTACACATGTCGTTGCCAGTGGTTTCTAGGATAACGGTTACAAACATATCAACAATGGAACTAACATAGGAAATACGAATAACATAGGAAATACGAGACAAACGATAAAAGTGGACATTTCCCTGACGATATTGGGAATACGGCGATCAAAACAGCATAAAGAACGTAACTTGTGATGACTTGTAAACGCGAGCGAAAACTTTCTGATTTACATAACCCGCGCGAAGGTCAAACTATTTATGCATAGCGGCGCGGACTGGGGCTAGGCGGGGAATTGGTTTTTAAATGTCTCTTACACTTCCTTTCTTGTTCTATACCCACATGTGACGGCATGCACGGGCTCATTGTTAATTTACATAGCGATAGTGCACATTCAACGATTACCGGTACTCCTGGCTCGGCTGGATAACGTTATTCACCGGTACATCACTATCCATTGGATAAGTGTTGACAAAACAAACCACGCTAGGATATCCGATGGACAGTGATTTATCCGGTGGATAACGTTATCCACCTTTCAATCAACCCGGGCCTGTTCTTTACGCCTGTAGTTTCTATTAGGTTCCAGGTTACTCAAGAATATTACCTAGGGTTTAACTAATACGGTCACTTTGATAACGTAATAAGCTATGCATTGAAGAGAAAGTCAACATTTAGTTTACTAGATGTAGAAAAACACCATGACTTGAACATGGACACATGGTGACACTACCATAGTTTTACTAGAGTTGCATCATGTGACATAAATTGTAGATTGTGATACAACATTCCCTTCACTGGGGAATGATAGTCCTTAGTAGAATTCTACTAGTATACTAAAGCAAATACTGCAATCTGATTGGCTGAGCTACTCGTATACTATCAGCCATTAGTATCACCCAACAAGTGGACTAATGCAAATCCTGCATTTCAATTGGCTACGCAACTAGAGGACTATTAGTAATAGTCCTCGAGTAGCGAAATTGGCGCAATCGAGCGTAACGCTTTCTTTCGTTTTATTCCCAAATAAATATTTCTTCAACTTGCATTTGTTAACTTTATTATTGCCTTTTCTGTCCGACTAGTTCGGTGATACTAAAACAATTAGACCCTTCGCCCTCAAGGGCCACGGGACAATAGCCCATTCGGCTTCGGCTATTGACCCGTAGCCCGCCAGGGCTACGGGTCTAATTGTTAATTAAAGTGCAGGACTGGAGGTCGTCGACATGATGGCAACGTTTCTTAGTTTCTGTAATGTTTTCAGGAAGATTTAGAAATATTACTGGATAATTAAATTCTCAAGAACCATAAAGTAAGGAAACTGACCGTTATGCGGCTTTAAAACCATAGAATTTTCAGTGAACCGACGAGCGCGCGTGTACAAATGCAAGTTTCAAATAACAATTCAATCCGTGCTATTCTACTAAAGCATGAAGTTTAATGCTACGTTGGGAAATAATTGGAAATCGTTATTTGAAAGAAATTTAGTTAGAATTATATTAAAACAATCAGATTATTCGCTTATCACCTCATAGAAATCTCGAGCTCATAATGTAATTGTTAATAAGTATTGAATTTGTTTGAAAAAATGTCTTTTCAAAAATTCAGGTCACATTTTCTGAGGTAGGTCCTGAGCATTAACTATGTCCTGAGTAATTAGAAAAGTAAAAGCAATGAGGTAATAGTAACTTGGGCTTGTATATTTGGTCAGATTTAAGTCTTACCTTATAAACAATTGATCTTTGTGTTGCAAATATGTTTTGCAGAACTCTTTCACTCTGATTGCAGTTAAGGGAATGAAGCAACACCCGAAGTATTCCACTTAAAACCACCCGCAGGGACTCCGAGGTAGCCACCGTCTAAAAGAGAAGTTACACTGAATAAGTCACAATCCAATTTCAGCGTAGTGGATTTTGAATACCTAGTTCTGAGATCAAGCCCTGCCCAACTTGTCATTTAGTTTGCCATATTAATGCTTTCCATCACTACCATCGATATTTCATCATTACTTCCAAAGGATAAATGCAACTTATCAATAAATAAATATAACATTTTAATATATACATATACAAATGATATTTTGGAATCCTGAGCACATGACGTGATAAGCACTTCCTATCACTGCTGTTCATTTGTACTGTGAAGTTAAACATTATACCTTAGGTTTTAAGCTACCAGCATACTTTTAATCTGATGCAGCATCCACTGTTATTTTCCGTTCATGTTAACTTATAAAAATTGTTCATATTAGCTAGTTGATTATGTCACTTTATTATAATCTGGATCATTGGATAATGCAATTCGAGAGTTTTCTTTGGCTTAGCCATCATGGGTTATGAGCCATTATACCTTATACCATGCTCTACAAATATGGTAAGTGGCGTTTTCATTTTAGTTTACTTATCTACATTTAGGGGGCGTTTTCAATAACACAATCATTCCACTGGCCCTTGTTGGATATGAGATGGTTATATCTACGATCTCATATCCAACAACGCTCGTGGAATAATGGTAAAATATCTTGTGAACGCCGAAAGTGGACGTGGCTTTATTCACAGGCTATGGTGGAGATCATTGGGATAGGTGCGGGATGCTCAAGTCTCAATGTCTCTTTCATGCCAGGATAATAAATGAGTAATGAAACGTTAACGGGTAAAGTGCAATGACCTGACATTTCAGACAGGGAGAGCAGCATTATGTAAAGCCGCCTCATGCCACAAAAAGCATAATACATTAATGAGCTATGGAATGGCCTCGGAATGAACTTTACTGAGTACTTTGACACAAATGAGCAAAGTTGTTACTTTCTGAAGAAATTGTTGTATTGTGTTGGCGGGTAGATGTAATACTAACTATCAACTTGTAGAAAACTGTAAAGGTAAATTAGCTGCCCTAGTGAGTTGCACTAGCCCTTCGTCAAAGAAACTTTAATACATCCTTAAATCTCCAAAAGATGAAAAGATCATTAACCAAAAATACAATACCTGTACTAAGTGCTCTAGTGTATCAAGAACAATGGAATTAACTTCCGCTGCAAGGGCCCCTTCAACTTGTGCATTCACCTCTACTTCAGGACGAAGTCTGGCCGACACAAAATAGATGTTCAAGACTTGTTAAAATAGCAACAAACTGTTTGCTATGTGTGCAAAGTTTAGCCTCACTAAAACATCCGTACCAACAATTTTAACATAGACAAAATATTCTCTCCTCAGACATTTGTTTTACAGCCAAAGTTTGGTCTTTGATTTGGTGCCATGCTAATATGATCAGACCTTGAATATCTAAACCACAAGCAAGCTATGAAGCTAGGTAACTTACAAACTTTCTTTACATGCTTGACTGATTCCAGCGACGACTTCCTGTATTTCCCCTTCAAAGTACTTTAAATCATTGAAAACATCTTCTGCATTTAACCGATGGCTTTTTCTCTTCCATTTTCAAAACTTTTATAGCGCTACTAACGTTTTCGCTGCTCTCTCTGTTGATTTTGCGTGTGGAGTTGGGCCAGTGCTTGTGATTGCTTTGCCGCGCCATCTCATGAATTTGTTGAGAATACGCACCTTGATTGATCATGAAAGCGCAGTTAATTTCCCTCTCTTTGACAAACGTTTTCTATAGTTATTTCATAGAGGCAATGGACCACACTACTTTCTATCAACAGTAACAAATAGCCATTAAGAGAAAGAAAAATTTTATAAAGAGTTAAAAATGGGCTCGACCCTTGACAACTCTCACCTGTTTTGTTGCTCGGTGGCCTGTCTCCACTGTGTTTGATCTTTACGCCACCTTAATCGTGATTCTGTGGTCGGTGACTGACCCTTTTCTGTTTGAACACAAAATGGTTTAGTTAATGTATCCAGAATGAGTTGTTTACACTTGGCTGTTGCCTTGTACACTGACCCACATTGTGTCGTCAGCACTTGTAAAACCCAAACTGATAGCAATGCCTGAGTGTGCAGCAAGTTGTGCAGTGTGCAGCAATTCTCAGGTTTTCTAAATTTTATTCATTTCTGTAAACTACATTTTGCCTCCTTTTTCAACGATTTTAATACCATTGTTGTTGTAAATAGTTTTGTGCTGTAAATAATTATCATGTAAAGTTTTAGTGAAGAATTTTAATGAGCCCAATAAAATCGTTATTACTATTTTATTAAAAAATAGATGATGATAATAATAATAATAATAATAATAATAGTAATAATAAGGAAGAATTCGTAGTGCGCAAAATACATATGGATATGTTCAAATGCGCATTACAGCTCAAATTATCTGAAACTAAAAGTTACAAGCCCTAAAATTACAATTACAGCTAACTAATCTAAATCACAGAAGTGGTAGTTATTAAAGGCGGGGAAAAACAACAAATGAATAAATAAAATAAGATAAAATAAAAGTTTATTATTCGGATTTTATGAAAACGCGTTACAAAACAAGTGTCCTAAGTTTGCCTTTAAAGCCGGCAACAGTGTCCTCAGACCTAATGTCCAGGGGAAGAGCATTCCAAAGCTTTACTTTACTTTAAGCCATTTACTTTTCATTCATAAGAGTGCAAGACCATACTTTCTGGGTGTCACAAAATGGTTCAAAAGGCGAAACTTGAACAGCCTAAATGCAATCTTAGAGGTATTTGTTTGTTTGTTTGTTTGTTTGTTTGTTTGTTTGTTTTCAAANTAAATTACAATTCATTCTTGCCCCGTACTCATCAATACATGTCAGGTCAGTAGAGGGATATGGTACCTTTGGTCATCTCAGGGGCGTATCCAGGATTTTTCAAAGGGGGGGTCACACTGTCAAAGTAGAAGTAACCAAATTGTACACCTGCAGAATATTTTTTTGGTTGCCATGACTCGAAACTTTCAAATCAAATAATTTGATGATATTTGTATAACTGGTGGACTGTTACCTAACATCACTCTGCTATGGCGTTGCATCATTTCCCTTGCAGCACCCTTATTTCCAAGTAAGAACTCTTCAAGCTTGGCCTTTGCGTCCTGTTGGGCTTTTGGTCCTGGTGCTGCAGGAAATTGTGATGACTTTTGCACCTTGCCACCATAATCGAACAGGGTGATACATAAGCGAAGAACGTCCAGCAGCAAGCCTAGTCTAGAATAACGCAACAGATTGACTAATCAAGTAAAGACATGGACACGATGCGTATGTTGACAAAAGAGAAGAGCTAAGTAGTTACCTGGCAGGTGGCTGATCCGCCCACCAATCCTTCAATACTTCACTGTCCATGTTCTTTAACACCCACAGAAGACACACCAGCAGGTTTCTAGTTGCTTCTAAACTTAACTGCTGTGGTTTGCTTTTCTGATACAACAAAGTACAACCAAAAAGAGACATTTACAATTACCTGCTGTAGTTTCAATTTTTTATCTGATCTTGTTGCTCCCTAGCCTTAATTTAGATATAGTTAGCAACGATACATTTTGAACAAATCTATGAATAACTAGTCAACAAAAAGGAGTTTCACCTAACCATTTTTAATTAGGGTTGGGAAGCAACAAAAGATGACAAAAATTGGAACTATGGCAGCTAATTGGTAGTCAACACGCATTGACAAGATGATCTAGTTATTGGCAGTAAGCGGGTTCCATGGTTATAATCTTCTTGGATATGATCATCTTATCAAGTTCTGCTACAGCCATGATAATTTAAGGTGGCTTGCTACAGTTTTGATGGAGTATGAGAGCCCGACTTTTTAATCCATTTCTCAAATGTACCAAAATGTTTTTGCTTTCTCAAGTTACTGTTTGCTTAAGTCTTCCACCATTCTATGTGAGACTTGAACAATTTCAAGGTTAACAAGTAGCCAAAATGACCGACCGCGTGCCTAAGGATAGATTGGGAACTAGTAGGTTTAATGACGTTTTTCTCAAAATCTCAAAATCTCAGGAATTAGAAATTTACTCTGATTAAACAATCATGCAAAGTAAAATAAAAATCTGTAAGACAAATTTTTCGCAAACCAAGAAAATGTGAAACTTTGCCTATTTCAAAAATAACTCAAATTCTGTTTTACAGGTTTTTTTTTAACATTTTGGCACTTAACGCCATTCACCCCTACAGATCACCTATGGAAATTTCGACATGGTGTACGATCTTGGATAAAAGACAGGCTGTGACAACCTTGCGCGGGAATTGAACTGAGCGTGCCATGTAACGCCATTTATCGTGTGGGAGAAAGCATGAGTAACTAAGAACTCCATTACTGGTTGTTTATCGACCTTTTTTGTCATATTTTATTGGTCCTAGTTTAAACAAATGTTTGAAAGCAGTTTGAAACTAACGCTAAGTACACCAAAGTGGTTTACCACGATTCAAACGCTGAAGCTGTTTTCATTTGTTTTGATTTAAGCCATTAACGAGAAACTCATAAGCAAGCTTAAGGGAACATACGTAAGAATAAATGAAGGTATAAAAATCACCAGAATAACGCTGTGATTGCATTTGCGACCACGAAATACAAAAAAAGAGCGGAAATACAAGAAAAATCCAAGTAAGGCGCCGAGGAAGTATCAAAAGAATATCCTACGGCAAAAGTGATTGAAAAACAGTGGTCTACCATCGTCACCGTTCGGTGTTCAGTCTAAACTGAACATCAGATCCAGACTAATCAAAGTCTCGGTAAGTGTTATCAGCTGAAGCACTTACTGAGAATTTGATTGTTCTGAGTATCAAAAGAAACTTCCTAAAAAATTGTTGATTATTAACCTGTGATGCAAGTTCACCCTTGCTTTCGTCGGACCCCATTAAGGTTGTTATACTAGATGTTGCTATGGCCATGGCAACATCTGGAGTGAAGCTGGAGTTGTCTTCACTGCCATAACCATGCAGCTGTTGTAGGGCTCCTATAACCAACCCAATTATTGGAAGATATAATGCAGCTACAGCAGAGCGACAGGAAATCTCGTCATAGCGAGTGTCTGAGTCGTGGCACGCAATGAGGTCCCTTGTGGTGTCTACAGCTTGGCATATACGTGTCATGTCCCTACAAGTACAAACAAGAGTCAATCAATAAATACTAATCCGAGTGTAAGTATGTGAGTGCTACCTGATCACCTCATCACCAGTATCGTTGCGCTATGAGAAAAGGTTTTGCAATATATGTATCCCAAGTTTCACCTGTTTGATGCCCATTTCATTCAAATATTGTGGAAAATACTCTTGCCGCTGAGGACGACGCCTAGTAGATAATGAATTCTTATTTAGCTTCGAATTTCGCAATTGTTTAGATCTGTTCGGAATGCCTACCGCTGTACAAACTTGCTCAGTGTATATTATATGTAATGACAGCATTCAATTCCAACTAGAAAGACGAAAAATTACCCATCGCCGATCTCGTTCTCAAGAATACGGTAAAACGTCTCCGTGACGTTTATTCTGAGAGTTCACTAAAAGATAGACAGCTGGAAAATAATTCATAGGGTAAAAACAGTTTCTGGTGTCTCAGCAGTTCACATTATGGCCCTTCAAGTCCGAAGTTTTTCAAGCTTTATTTCCGTAGCTGATTAAGTTGCGCACATAACCGCGACGATCTGCTGACCCAGTAACAGTGATAATTATCTACATCAGTTGCATTCATCAGATCATCAGTAATCAGCACAACTTTACCCTCCTTCCAATGACAAAGCCAGCTCAGAAAGGACCAAGCCGGCCAGAAAATGCTGCTGTCTGAAAGCAGTAGAAAGTTCTGCCATACTGTTGCCTATAGTAATAGTGTAGGTTGACATTGTTGAACCAATTGACGACAGGGAGGGTGTAGGTGACGAGGGTGGTGTAGGGTACAGAGGACAAGGGAATGGCAGATTGAGGGTTACATAGTGCTCGTGGCTACAAACAATCCTCAGGAACTCAAGTCTGAGTTGTGATACTCCAGGATCAATGGTACATGTAGCTTGATAATGCATCTAATGAAGGATAAAAAACAACATTCGTGAACGCTATTAAGGAATCAAGTACGTAATGAAATACAACTTTCCTCACGACATCTTCTATCAAACAAGTGTAAGAATACAAAGCAATGCAAAGTTTGACGTTCTTATTGGTGGCGTTTCCAACATGTATTTAACCTCAATAGGCTTTCATACCTCTTTAAAGTAGTGCCTGATCAGCTCAAAAACAAAGCCTCTGTCAATCAGCGACAAAAGATCATACAAGAAAAAGGCAAGACTGGAGTTTAGCCTCCGACAGAGAACAAAATCCTGCAATAGAAACAACAGTTCTTAAAATATTTCTTTCATTTATTCTATTTTATGAATGCTTGACCAACCTAATTTCTCTTGTACACTTTGTGAAGGACTTCCAGGTTACCAACATTTTTGTTTATTTAATTTCTAGGTGAGTACAAATAAATAAAGTTGTTGTTGTTGTTGTTACAAATTGTACAAACGTCTATGACACTCAAAATAATCAAATGTTCACTTTGCATTCAGTTCAGTGGTTAATGTCCATGTTTTCCAGACTGATTGAGCTGATGTGTTTACTTCATACATTCTATTGTACCTGTGTATATGACTATTTTTCTCATTCAAATAGTCAGGGCAATTTGAAAAACATCCTGGCGGCTAGCGCGCTGTGATTCAATAGCGCCCTATACAGGGAAGAACTAAACCTTACAAGTTATTTAGTGCCTGTTGCTGGATATTAAGCTACCTTGATGTGTAGAATTCATTTTTAACTTGGAAAATATTACTTTACAAGTTGTAGTGGTGAAGCAATTTCACTCCTTCACTCCTTCACTTCCTGTTAAACATTTGAACCCCGGGGGGGGGNGGTCAGGGATGCTCGTTGGAAAATTTGCGCGAACATGTAGACCCGAGAGATCAGCGGAAATCCAGCCAAAAAACAGAAATTAAATGAGAGCGTTTCTTTTAATTATTATTTCTTCGAGTGCACCCTAAAGGATATTTTGACAGCTAAAAATGATGACGTTTCGTCGTCAACACCCTAAGTGAGACCAGAATCCTTGACTTGTACCCCTAAGCGAGAACATCTCCGACTTTTTCATATAGGAGTGTCCCCCCCCCCCCCCCCCCCCCCCCCCCCCCCCCCCNAACCCCCCCCCCCCCGGGATTCGAACATCCGCCGATTAACGCCGTTTTACAGTCGCTTGCACCGTGTCAAGTTAGTTATTCTTTGAATTTCGGACGCAAGTACTCAATATCTTACCGCAGAAATGCTCTACCTTAGATAAATTTTCGCACGAACGTTTTTGTAAACAGAAACTACCTGTAATTAAATAAATAGCTCATTTCCCGAAGGTGCCCGCTCATATAGGTTTAACCATACTTGCCGAAAAAGAAGACATTGAAAGTCACAACATTGACGAGCTGTATGTAGCCGTGATTAAATGTTTTAGACGATTAACAGTCAAGGTAATTGAGGAGAATTCGAACGACGTGTTCCGCTGTTTATTCATACGATATTGTAAATAAATACACATAAATGCGGACATGGCGAAATGAGGAACAAATAGTTGATAAATAGAAGACACGACATTACACAAGGCTGGGAGTTCTGCAGTCTTAGGGACCGTTCATTTTTTATAAGGTAGGGGGGCTGGTGGGATTGGGGGGGGCCATGCGAAAAAA